TACAGGATGATACAGAGGATTAACCAAAAAGGATCCACAAGATATTTTATTCAACTCATAATCATTTTTTGAGTCCTGACTCCAGACAAGTTTCCTTCTCCAGTGCTGCAGGTCATCCAGTAACAGCAGAGGGCACATGGGGGTGGATTTTGCAGGCACACCTATTTAACCACCACTGTGGGCACCTGAACACACAGTCTTTGGGGGAAAAAACCACCAAAATGTAGCCTCAGCCTGCAGAACATTCCAAAAATCCAGCTGGCAGAGTGAAAAGCTGCATGTTGTGTTCCCTGCAGTTCAAAGATGACTGGAGACAGCAGCACCTCAGATTAAACAACCTTTTGCCATTGAAATGGTGACTTTGCCTTTCAATCATCTTGCAGTTGTTTTATCCAAGAATAAAAAAATGAGTTAAATCCCAAAAAGTTGGGTTTGTCCTCTATAAAGTTTCCCATAGAGTTTCATGTATCAAATAACTTGAAAAAAATGCTTTAGAAATCACTTTAAACAAGTACTTGTGTGGCCTTGTTAACTGAAGTTAACAGGAAACAGTTTCCAGTTTTACATTTTTGGCTCCACTGGATTTAGATGATGTCCAGCACAATGAATTCCCTGATGGGGAAGGGTGCTGGGAGTGCCTCGGGTGAGACTGCATTTCATAAAGTGCTTGTGTTCCAAAGCATAGAGCTGTCAGAGTCCTCTCTGTGCTGGGGAAGGAGTCCCCATGGGGCTGGAGCCAGGCCAGTGGCAGCCCCAGGCCCTGATTAACCCCCGAGGCGCTGCCCCTCTCCCCAGGCAAAGCCCCCCGGCCGCTCCTCTGGCAAGGGGTTGTAGTTGGGGTCATCCTCTGGGGTGTCAAATATTGCTTTCCTGCAAAACACAAAGCATGGTTAGCCTTTAAAACACAGCTTTCACTGTAAGATCAAGACAGCACACATGCTGCACAGTGCCCTCCCTCAAGAACAGCCTGCCCAGGCAGTGGGGTTTATGCTCTCCAATTTGGAGCCAGCAGGAAGGAGATCCCAAATCAAGACTGATGAGGTGATTCTGCTATTTATGTATAAATATTCTATGCCAGACATCTTCAGGATAGTCTTATGATTCTGTAGAAAACAACATCAGGACAGCACACATGCTGTCAGCTCACAGCATTTGGTTGGACCAAATTCTCCACTTCTCCAGCTGAGCAGACCAAGTGCTCTCAGCCACTCCTATTATGTGGCCCCTCCTGACCCCTCACCATCCTTATGCTGCTCCTCTGAGCACTCCCTGACAGCTTTTACATCCTTGTTACATTGTGACACCCAAAACCAATTATGAAATTAAGACCATCACCCCTGTGGTAGTCTCCTCCCTCAAGAACAGCCTGCACAGGCAGTGGGGTTTATGCTGTCCAATTTGGAGCCACCATAAAGGAGATCCCAAATCAAGACTGATGAGGTGATTCTGCTATTTATGTATAAATATTCTATGCCAGATATCTTCAGGATAGTCTTATGATACTGTGGAAAACAACCATCAGAGGTGTTCTGGGAGAGCACCCCACAAGAGAGAACTGAGTGGGAGCTATAAACACTACAAACACTGAAGGATTTTTTTTTCCAAAATTGTGATGTGAGGATGACTTACAGAAGAAAACAACCAAAACATTAAATATCTTATTTGTAGTACCTCAGCCACTGTTCACACTCAGCAGGGGACACAGCTTTGGTGCTGTCAGTAGAGTGTTATCAGAGAAACCAAAGATAAAACCCTCTAGCTCTTCTCCAGTTAAGTTGGTTCCCACTTTAACAAATTCCAGCCCCTTGTTTGGCAACACAAGTTGAATAAAAAGCAAGAAGACACCCCCCCAGTTCTGACTCTGCCCAAATGATGTGACTGAATTGCAAACAGTTTTCCAAACAAGCACTTTTGCCACGTCTCTTCCAAAGCAGACACCAATACTCACAGGACAGACGGTGTTCTCAGGAGCCTCCCACCACCAGGCTGATTGGGAAAGACATCCTCTAAGAAAAAATATATATGCCCAACAGCAATGCCTGGTACAGAAACAAAAGCCAAAAGGTGGTTTTTCAGTAGTTCTCCTTTACAATTCTCAAATGCTTTACACTAGAGTTTTCTGAAAAACAGCACACATTTGTTCTTTCACAGAAAATTGGATGATACAGGAATATAAAACCTAAGGAAGAAAGCTAACAGCAGTAAAAAGCTTAACTTATACTATAGGACATAAATATTGTTATTATTCATATTAATAAACATCTTGTTATTATTAAAAATACTGATGTTTTGGCTCTATTAGAGTTGATAAAAAAGTAATATAAGCTATTTTATTTCAGTAGACTGATGCTATAGTCAGATGATGCATCAGGGCTGATTCCAAGCAATAAAAAGCCAGAATTAAAAACATCAGAAAATAAAAAACATCACAAGCTCTTTCCATCCTTGGCACAGCACAAAACATGCTACAATGGCTAGAAATCAGAAAAGCCTAAAAATATAAAATAATAAATATATCAGAAGAACTAACAGCAAGCATTAATTAGCCCGGAAATGGGACAAATCCCCATTTTCTGTTTCACATAAAACACGAGGATGAACAGATCCTCGTGAGGTTACTGCCATTGCTCACCCAGGAGATCCACAATGATGGAGTTCCCCAAGAGCAGAGAAAAGCCCATCAATACCCAGGGGAGGAAAGGGGCCTGGAAGATGAGGAGCCCGAAGAAGTTCATGCGGACGTAGGGGTTCCTGCGGCTCCACACGTACACCAGCATGATGGTGAACGCCTGTCCCAGGAACACCAGGTTCACAAACAGCCCAAAAAGCTGCCATGGCTCGTTAAGGAAACTCTTGTGAGGTCAGGAATTTCACAGCTTAATTTGTGATCTTGTGTTTTCCACACAGCTGGTAAATCCACTTTCTCAGGTGTAAGGATGTCAAACTACTGGCCATCAAATCCAGCAGGTGCAGCAGGATTCGGGCTACCTGCAGCATGAATAATCTCATTAAAGCAGAATTTAATTCTTCACAGACAACCTGAGCATGATCCCACATCTGAACAGCTCCCTGATAACCTCATTTCCATGATCAAGCAGAAAAAGCCCAAAAAACCCAGCAACAATCCCAAAATATTCAAAACCACACCAACAAATATCAGTACTCCTTGTGCAACAAAGTAACAGTAACAATGCAGTTTCAGCTCTCCTTCACACTTCTGTAGTTTTACTAAAGGAGCTTGGAATTAAAACAGAAAGGATACAGTCATTAAAAGTCCTCCAAAAAGGAACATAAATACAAAATCTGCCGTGCGACCCCGGAAAGAGCCTTCCTCGAGCATGCGGCAGTAGCGGTATCTGAGGCCAAGGTCAGGAAAACTCCAGTGTTCAAGAGAGTTCAGAGACATATCCAAGCAGGAAATTATTCACTTCTACATCAGCTTAAAAGTGTTTTGTCAATTTACTGCATCACTTGGCTCTTTCTGGATACTTCAGCACAGAGGGTGAGCCGGGAGATAAAAAAGTTACCTGGAATTTTCTCCTGCAGCACCAACCTGAAGGATCAGTCTTGTACAAATTCTTAACACCAAAAAAGTAACTGGCAAAATTCTTGACAATTTAAAAAGGAGACCCCCTTGAAGCCCTTGAAGTTGGCATTGCTGAATTCCCAGGACCTCAACCTGTCCTGTGTGCAGGTACAGCAACATTCCTGCACTCTGGAGCTCTGCTTGCCAAGGGAACCAACACAACTTGGTGAAGGATACAAAAAGATCATGTTAAATAAAAAATTAAAGCCAACTGGTCCAAAGAACAAGTAGTTTGTGATTAACCTCCATATCTGGAAATAAGACAAATACAAGGACTTTAAACATGACAGCTTATTTTTATTGTCTAAGTAGAGAAATAAGTAACAATGAAACTGAAATCTCCTTTACAGAAAATGAGACTAAGACCTATTTTAAGATATAGTGGTCTGCACTCTGGCTACAGTAACTTTTAAAAAGTGTATTTTTAATACAAAAAGTACACTGTTTTGAGAAGACAAACACTTAAAAAACTCTACAGCACACTTAAAAACCTCCAGTGCTTCAGAAAACACTTACTTGAAAGTGCTTAAATATTAACTCAGGGTTGAAATACAGCTGGAAGGGCGTGATAAGTTCTAATTGCTGAAAAAGAAGAAAACATTTTGAAAGGATCAATACAAGAAAGAAGAAAAAAAAAAGGAAGAAGAAAAAATACACACCCAAAACAGCAACCCATTCCTGCGTGCCAAAAAGAGCCCAGCAAGTCACATCAGCACTGTGAGTTTTCTGGAGCCTCAATACAACAACCCTTTGGCGCTGTTGTTGTTAATTCGTGCTTTTCACCTCTCCCGGGCCCGGTTCCGGGAATCCCGAATCGCTCAGGGGGTCTGGGGACTCCAGACACGGCTCTGAGCGCGGGCGGTGCCTGAGGGCGCCCGTTCCACGGCCACCCCACCCCGCTCCCAGCTCCCATCACGGCCTGCCTGCCTCCCTCCCTCCCGCGGCCGCCACTGACCACGGCGGCGGTGGTGAGGACGCAGGCGGTGGTGTAGGCCCGGGTCACGGGCGGCACCTGCAGGTACTCCTGCCGGAACGTCTGGTACGCCATCTTGGCGGCCCCGCCCCGGCCCGCCCGCCTCCGCGCCCGCCCGACGCTCCGCGCTCCCATTGGCTGAACCGCAGCGCCCTCCCTCCGCCCTGCGCTCTCATTGGCCGAGTGGTCAGCTCGCGGCCGCCTCTCCGCGCTCCTATTGGTCGCCTTGCAATGCCCGCCCACCACCCCTCGCTGTCATTGGCAGAGAGGCCGCTCTTGGCTCGCCCGCCGAGGGACGGAGCGCTCGGTGATTGGGCAGGAGCGTGCACTGGCGGGCGCTGATTGGCTGCGCCTGAGGTGCCCTGAGGCGGTGTTTGAGCGAGGCGGGAAAGCAGCGGCGTCAGCGGCGCGTCTCGGAACCGTCCTTGGGCAGAGCGGCCCCGGGCCCCGCGAACACCAGCGGCAGGAGCGGCCCCACTGCCTCGGGTAACGCCCTGTGAGTCCCACCTTCCCCTCACGGCCCGGCCGCCCCTGCCCCCGCCGCCATGTCGGTGGATCCCATGGTCTACGAGGCGCAGTTCTTCGGGTTCACGCCGCAGACCTGCATGCTGCGTGTTTACATCGCCTTCCAGGATTACCTGTTCGAAATGATGCTGGTGGTGGAGGGCGTGATGCTGAAGAAGCTGGACAGCATTCCCGGCTGCAAAATCAGCCCTTCCAAGATCCGGAAATGCACCGAGAAATTCCTGCTCTTCATGAAGGAGCACTTCGATAAACTGTTCTCTAAAATGGAAGAAATGCTGCTGCAGCTGGTGCTGAACATCCCGAAGAACGTGCTGCTGCCCGAGGACAGGGTGCAGGACCAGTATCCCTACAGCGAGGAGGAATTCCAGGCGCTGCAGGATGAGCTGCAGCAGCTGCAGCAGCAGTGCAGGGCACAGGCAGTCCTGGAGCAGGAGCTGCGAGCAGAGCTGGAGGAGCAGAAGGTTGTCAAGGCCGAGCTGGAGAAGATTTTGCAGTGCTTTGATGGGCTTGAGAACATCTGCAGGGAGCACGGCGCCGGCAACTTCAAGGAAAGCTTTGCCCTCCTGACACAGAGCTCTAAGAAATTGCAGGATGTGCTGAAAGAAGTTGAGGAGAAGAGCAAAAAAATTAACCAGCATGATCAGTTAATGTAATGGAAATTCCGAGAAGGCAGCAGATGCCATACAGAGAGCTTGCTTAAAATGACAGGGGCTTCTCTTCCCCTTACTCCACTCGTGCTGCCAGGATTTGGTCTGAAAGCTGTTAAACTGTGCCAGTTTGCTCCTCCCTAAGGCAGGAAGGGAAGAAAACAATCCGAGTTACATTTTACAAGCCAACTTCCTCAGTTTTGGGTCGAACAACCGGCGTTTGAAAACACTGAATGTTACCTTTGAACACTATGTAGCACTTCCCGTTTTAAGGGTTATAAAAACCAAGCCTTGTTAATACTTGTAGGAATGTGTAGGCGTTTCCAGCCTGAGGTCAGTGAGGCCATGGGGACTCTGCCCGTGGCCGAGGAGCTGCCTGGCCATGGCTACGGTGCCTTTCTCTGTGTTTGGGAAGTCAGCAAGGAGGAAATGCAGGGAGGAGGATGACACTGATGCTGGTGACAAGGTTCTGATGAGATCTGTTGGCATCAAACCAAATTTCAGCTCAGTTTCTGGAATTTCAGGGTTCCTCACCATTCCACCTGTGCTTGTGTTTCTCTCAGCACCAGAGCAGAAGCCACTGGAGGAAATGAGCAATTCCATCACTTTGTCCTACTTCACCTTATGTTGCTTTATGTATTTGTTTGGGGGTTTTTTTGTTGCCCAGTGTCCCTTTCCTACTAAACAAAGTTTCTCTTATTAACATTTAATCAGATTTTCCTGTGAAAATGTTCTGAATATTGATAAGCTCTTGTGTCTTAATTAAACTTATTCTCTCTGTACTTAATTCAAAATCCCTGACATTCTGTGCATCTTTCCATGGCAGTTTTTTAATCTCCTGTTTAAAAATATTAATTTCTACTTTACTAGCATAGAGGTTTAAAATTCATTAACCGTGTGAATAATTTAGAGGTGACTGCAATAAAAAAGTGTATTGAAAACCTAAAACACAGTTTGGAATTCTTTCTTCCCTGGATTGAGAAGAGTGAGATGTGAGAAGCGTCACTTGGCAGCAGAGGGCAGCAGCAGCCCGGCCCAGGGATCTGCTCCACAGGACGTTGGTCTCTTTTCCCAGCTCAGTGTGACTTTCCTGGACATCAAGAATGATTGTTTCCTCAGGTGCATCAGTTGTTTTATCCTCAGTAAACAGGAGACATTTTTCCTGGGTGTTCTGTGCCCAGAATGACCACACAAGGATTGGCAGAAAGCTGGACACCCCAACACTGTATTTTCCTTCAAAAAGGAATTATTCCCATTTTCACAGGTTTCTCCTGTCCCAGCCAGAGACAATTTCAGTGCCAGGCCAGGGTTCCTCCCAGCTGGAGTGCTGGGTGAGGGGGTGCTGGGCACAGTGGTTGTACTGGGCTGTGCCTGCCCCACTCCCTGACCCCTGGGTTTGATGTTCCTGCTGTGTCACCAACCAGGGAAATGTGTCCACAGCAAAATCTGGGATTGATCATCCCACCCTCCTGGTGTGGATTTAACCCTCAGGCCCTCCTGTGATCATCCCTTCCCACCTGCTCTCAGAAATGCCATCCTCCCACACACGCTCCCAGCACTGCAGTCACCATAATCAAATCTTTTACAATAAATTTCACCCTGCTGCTCCAGAGAGCGGTGCAGGAGCAGCGCCCTCGGGCAGGGAGCTCATGGAACCACAGGATTCTCTGGGCTGGAAAAGCCCAGCAGTTCCCCCAGCACTGCCCCCAGGCCACACTCACCTGTCCTCAAATGCCACATCCACAGAGGCTGGATCCAATGGCACTGGTGAGGCACTCCCAGCCCCAAATCACATCCATGTGTTTGTGGGGTCTCTGGAGATTCAGAGCCTTAGAGCAGCTTGACAAACCCTGACTCCATCCCCAGTGGCCTCTCCATCTGTCCTTGTCCCACTCTGCCCTCCCTCCCTGCCTCTCAGAGGCACATCCAGAGGTGACACTGGTGACAAGGCAGGCACAGACAGGGTAGCACCAGGCTGATGCAGGAGCAGGACCTGGCACTGGCTTGGAAAGGAGGGGCAGAACTTCCAGGTAGATGATTTTAATGCTCATTTTCTCCCAATACTTGCATGGAGCTGGAATATTCAGAGCTCCAGGCTGGGAGTGAGATACTTCATAACACCCAATGTAAAAACTGCAACCAGCTGCTGGTAAAACATTTCCAAAAGCCTTTTTCAGGAGAAAGAGCCTTGATGTCAAGCACTTGGTGCAATAAACACCCCAGCAGCAGAGCTGGGGTCTGAGAGGAATAAAGCCACTGGTTTTCCCACCAGGATAATGCCCTCCTGCTCTGGGACATGCAGGATCCATGGGGCTGAGGGTGTCATGGCAGCTGGATGCTCCAGCAGATAGAGAATGGCTTCAAGCCCCTCTACAGTTCCTGGGATTACCAGACTTCAGCAAAACTCACCCCTGGGAATAAAAGCATGTCCTGGCTGTGAGGAGGAGGAGTACAGCTGGAATTGCAGGCCCTGTGCATGGACAGGGGTCAGAGAAAGCAGGGAATGTCCTGGCTCTGTGTCCCAGGGATGCAAAGCCCCAGGGGTTCAGTTCCCTGTATAAGGAGAAAAGAGAAAATTTAAACTAAGAAATTTTGGCAGCATTCACAGGCAGTTGAAGCAGTGTAGCCCTCCTTGACTTATATGCTGAATAATGGTGTAATTAGCAGCTGTTAATGAACTCACACCTGGCAAAATGCCGGGGGAGGAGGGGGTTACCATATGCCTCCTCATTAAGAGCATTAATTACAGGCAGGAAATGCTGGTGGCAGCCACAAGCTTTAATCACTTCACCTCAAGCTGGTGGTGGGTCAGCTCCTGCTATTGCCATCCCATGGTGGCTCAGGGCTCCCATCCCTGTCCACATCCCACAGCAAGGCTGAAGGGACCAACAGGGCAGGGAAAAAGATACTTATTCACTCTAATAATGAAAAAAAACCCTGTTGTGGCAAAACATTTTCTTCCACAGGGATTTTTGCTGGCACAAACTGAACAAGAGCAACCCCCATCCTTAAAATGAACCCTGTGGAAATTCCAAATAAAAACTAATGGAGATGGACAGTGAGCCAGGCACTGTGAGTTATTCCAGCTGGTGAGTGCAGCAGCTCTTCCCTAATGTGTTTGCCCATCACACACCATAAAATGGGACGGGAGTGAACATTCCAAGTGCTCACTGGGATTTCCAGAGAGCTGCCCCAGTGCTGCCTCCCCTGCACCTCAGCCCTGGCAATAAAATAAATGGGGCAGGGAAAATGGGCATTCAGCTCCCATTAGTGGCTAAACATTGATTTACTCAAGCAAAGAAACTCAGTCAGGGCTTGGCTGCTGGTGGCTCCTGGCCGTGTTTGTGGGACATCCCTGGAAACTGTTAGAAAAGAACATGGTAAATGATTTTTTTCCTACTTAAGGAGAAGAAAATGGAAAACCTGGAAATGTTTGGCAATAAAGGAATCACTTTTACATATGAGAGGTTTTTTTCCCCCTAATTAAACCATAGGAGAGAGGGAATGTGATTTAAAAGAAAAAACCATGTCCCTCACACAGCTCTACATGGCTTTGGCTGCTTCCCTGGCTGTTTATCCTGCTCTGCATCCATCTCACTCTGCTGCAGTTGGGTTTGGGTTGGAAGGGACCTTAAAGATCATCTGTTCCCTGCCATGAGCAGAGATACCTTTTACTAGACTAGGTTGTGACAAAATCATTGTAGGAATTTAATTTCAGCTTGAAGAGGAATAAAAATAATAAACAAACCAAGCAAAAAAACCTAGAAAAATAGCATTGAGGCAAGATGGAGCCTTTGGAGGCCAATCCACAGGGTTGGATGGTGGTGATGCCCCAAAACTGAACACTTTGAACCCAGTGGTCACAGCTATGACCCCTCTGCTTGGGGTCTGTCTCTGTAGCTCTGATTCATCCTATCCCCTTTCCTGGGCAGCCCTGCCTCCCAGTGCTGTCCTACTGGGGATTCCATTACCCCTGATTTCCCCAGAGGAAGGAAATCCTCCTGCTGCTTTGTCTGCTAATCCCTCCTAGGCTCTTATTACTCCCATTTACACAATTCAGAATATGAATCCCTCCTGTCACCTTAATTTCTAATAATTAGTATTTGGTGTAACACTGCAGCAGACAGCAGCTCTTAATGAATATTATAATAGGCACTAAATTATAATTTACTGCTCTAGAAATCCATTTTGATACGTAGCCCACTTACAAGAAAATTAGGGGAAGCAGATTTCAAGCCATTTACCTGGCTGGATCCAACCCCAAATTGAGTCCCCAGCAAGATCCTAAATGATCATGAGCTCCAGGGGCATTTAGTGGCCTGGGACATGCCAGGGCTGGATGTGCTGTGGTGGCAGTGACGTGACCTCACCAGGACACTGCATTCCCAGGGAACCAGCAGTTCTGATTTCAGTGTTTTATTTACTCCCTGACAAAATGCTGGGGTATGAATCCACCTGGAGTAGATGGACAGCATTAATCCAGGAAGGGACCAGGCTGCTCTCAGAGGCCCTGGCCTGGGGCTCTTGAGGGGCATCCCCAGCCTAGTCCCTGGCTGTTCTCAGTGCCTCTGATGGCTTCAAAAAAGCTCTGTGTGGTTTGCAGCTGCTCCTGGGACGCCCCTGTGCGAGTGCTTCTGGTCAGGAGGGAGGTGGGTGGGGTGTGCAGCCAAAAACTAACCATGGTTAATAATGGTTTCGTTAACCAGCAGTGTAAAGGCCATTGCCATGGACCTCATGGGCTCAGCAGTCACAGTGCCCATGGTGCTCAAGCCTGCCAGGCTCATATCCCATTGCTGAAGACCTTAGCACCCGTGATATCTTCAAGGCTACAGAGGAAGTTCATGTTCTGAATGGGCAAATTTGTGAAAGAGTTGGAAGTGTTCTGAAGTGTGAGCTAGGATGGATATTTTTACCAAGGAAACATTTCCAGTTTCATTTTCTCCCTCTAGTGGAAGAAGAAAAATCACTTACAGGTGCTATTGTAAAGAAAAAATTTCCAGTAGATTTTTTTAATGTTGACAATTCTACTCCTCAAAGCACAGCCCCACTGTTTTCCCAAGGCTTCTATTGAATACAATGTGGACTTTCCTAAAGTAGGAACTGCTGGGTGATGCTTACTGAGATGTATTTTTTCTTTAGGATGCAACTGTCTCCAGACTGGAGAATATTGAAGAAATGATAAGCAAATTGATTTTTTTTTCTGATTTCAGTTATGAAATGCGAGAGTGATGCAAAGGACTGATAGAAGAAGGATATGATGTTTGACAACCAGGCAAAGGTTTTGCTGCTTCACTGGGCAACAAAAAACAACGGAGGATCTGGTGAAGTGAGCTGGGAGTCACTGTGACAGTAACAACGTGATCTGCCACTGTTACCTGTCATGACTTTGTTGCTTTTGTACTCGAAGACAAAGCAATGTGCTGCTTGAGAGGAAAAGGGTAGAATTCAAATTTTAATGCACTTACCTTTGTGAAGATGTCACTGAAATGTAAAGATAGCCCTGTTTCCTTATATGTGAAATTAAATAAGGATTTCCTATAAAGAAATCATATAAGTGGAGCAGGTCTGTGTTTGTCCTTGACTTTGGCCGGGGCAGGAGGTTCCCCCTCTTCCTCTCTTTTGGGGGGACGGGGGGCGTCCCCATGCTCATCTGGCCCTTGGGGTTGCCAGGGGGT